AAAAAATCTATCTTATACTTAAAAGCAGGGGATATTAGACTAATATTTTCCCGCCTAGAAGCTAATGCAATAATAACCATAGATTAGTAGTTGCAAATTGATCATCTATCTTATACTTAAAAGCAGGGGATATTAGACTAATATTTTCCCGCCTAGAAGCTAATGCAATAATAACCATAGATTAGTAGTTGCAAATTGATCAATGGTTCAGAATTCAGCACTAGGAAAAGGCAGGAAATTAAGCACTTAATAGCAAATAATTCCTCCATGTAAGTATTTTATGGGAATTCAAAAAGGATGGAGTCGATATTTATTTAAAAGCAAGGGAATTATTGACCAAATTTTCGTGCTCATGACTATGCATCAATATATGAAAATATTGTGTTACATATGGAATATTGTGTTCATTATAGATGGATATGTTTCTTATATATTTTGTACGCATTACATATAGAAATAATCATTTCGTGACATATTGACAATTTTTTTTATATTTTTTGTATCCTCTAAATATGGAAATATTGAATTTGTTGTATATAGAAATATTTTGTGTGCGTTTAATATAAATATGTTCATTATTATTTATAGAAATAATATTATTATTATTATAGAACAAAAATATAATAGAAATAATAATATTATGAAAATAATATTATTATATACTACCTCCGTCCCAGAGTATTTGTCCACTTCCACTTTTACACACCATACAATGCACTTCTTTAATCCATTTTATCTTGTAATTTGTATATTAAAAAAATTATAGAAATTATATATTAATAATCTATATGTTAAGACAAATCAAACAAGATCACACATGACCATATTTAGGCTTACACATTGAGAGAATTTGATGAGTCAAAGTACTTAGATGAACAGTTCCAAAAGTCAAAATTGGACGAATACTCCGGGACGGAGGGAGTAATCATCATCCTATTCTTAAAAGCAGAGGAATTATGCCTCATTCTTTTTCCCGCCCAAACACTATCGTTTATGGAACATCGATTTTGATCTACATTTTTAATCTACGGTAATTATAATTAAGCAATATGCAAATATAGTTTTATTTCATTCTATAAAAGGAAAATACCTTATAAGATTTATGTGTAATTTAATGCGGTGTATATAAATAATATGGTTTTATAAAAGGAAAGTATTGTGTATATAAATGATACAGTTTTAACTATTTAAAAAAAAGAAATTAACTTTATAAAATCCGTACATACTTAATGCCCGAAAATTGAAGAGGCTTTTTTATGCATGAAAAAACATATTTAACATATTAAGAAAAGAAAGAATTACCAAAAAAAGAAATCATAGAATTTTGGAAGTTATTAGCATGTTCAACGAAAAGACCCCTTCTCGAATCATTTTTTATTTGTTTGATATGTCGAGTAGACCTGGCAAACCGGTCGGTCAGGTTGGATTCAGATTTGGTCACCTTGAGTTTGGGTTACTTTGGATTCGGATAAGTTTGGATTCGGATTGATAACTACACGTTCATGACCCACATCGGGTTCAGGTTGACCCAACGGGTTATGAGTTTCATTAATTTTTTTTGAAATTTTAAATAATTTCTATGACTTAGTGTCAATATTACGAATAAAAAAAATTAAATATGTAGAAATTTTTAAAAATGTAAGATAATTATGCGACATTATTAAAATTTGTTATGATGGTATAAATCTATACACAAAAAATGAGTTGTAAGCAAATAAATATAATTATAATCTTATTTTTATAACACTATATTTCATATTAAAATGTATGATTCTAAAAAAATCTTGGATTAGCGGGTCGGTCTGGTCGGGTTCGGGTTCAGTCGGGTTTGACCCATTTTAGCGGGTCATTTCGGGTTCAGTTAACTTCGGGTTCGGTCAGTAAAACCTTTGTTCAAAACCCAGTATTTTCAGGTCGCATCTCGGGGCAAAAACAGGTCGGATCATTTTTTGTCAGGTCTAATGTCGAGTATTGGGCGATGTTAAGAAAAATTAACCTCTTGAAACTTTTTTTTCTTTATTATACGCGTAACTAATTTTTTTAGTGTGGCAGAAAATAAAAAAATATTGCAAGAATTCTAAAACCGTGAGTATTTTTGTGCTTAATAATGAATGTTTTAAAATTTTAATCTTATGTATTTTATTTGCACCATGTTAATTGCCTACGCATTAAAGTTATTAATAAAATTCAAGCATTCCTCCTTTTTTTAAATCTTTCCCCTTTTTATTTCTATGCTTTAAAAGGTTATGAAATCAGCGTTTCAAGAAAAATAAATCTAACCTCCTTTGATTTTTAATAAAAATAATAATATCAAAATTCAATCATTCATTCTTTTTAATACTTTTTTTAAAACACTCGCCATTTTATTATCTTAAACCGTATCTAAGAAGTCACTTGGGCGGGAAAAAGATGGGTACATGATTCCCCTTCTTTTCGGAATAGGAAGATGTGGTGGAGATAATTTATGTATTACACAATTGAAAAACATTATATTTCATTATATGATGTACTTATTTACTTTTTTAATAATACCAATATAAATTTATAACGTTAGTACGAACCGTGCAATGCACGGGTGTGATTTTAGGCAAATAAAAAAGTTTTGAGAATTTTTATTGAGTTACTCCGTACATCACTAGTTTTCGTACAAAACTTATCTCACTCATTATCCACTCTTTTTATTCACGTCAAGACGAATACCACCGTGCTAAACACAAAACTAGGTCCACCAGTTTCCTGCTTCGAAAACCACAAAGAAAGACAAATGGCCGCCGCCGGAGTACACAGCATCCTCTCCGTCTACTTCTCTCCCCCGCCGCCGCTACACATTTCGCTCGAAGGGCACCGATTCTCCAATGTTCCTATTTCCGGCCCAAGATTTGCGCCGGCGGCGAGCAACAGATCTGGCAGGAAACCATCCACCGGCAGTAAATTCAGAGCTGTTTTCCGACGAAGCAAGGGGAATGATCAGAGAGAGGAGGCGTTCGTGGGCCAAAACGGCGTCGTAGATGACATGGACGCCTATCTCGACCATCTCTCCCTGGAATACGACTCCGTTTGGGACACCAAGCCCTCCTGGTAGGTATTTGCTCCTCGGTCCTCACTTTTCTGAAGAATACTTCTCCGACCCAATTCACCCAAAACATTTTCTCTCCTTGGTCCTCGGGTTGACATGAATTTCTTCCCGGGAAAAATAGAACGGGAAGGAGGGAAACATATTGAGGGTGTTTGGGCGGCTGATTTTGAAAATGATTTTCACCCTTTATTACTGTCCGTCCCAATTTAAATCGTCCCTTATAATTTACGATGTTGACTAAAAAAAATTTCAATGTAATTTATTAGAGAATTGAAATGAAATAAAAAATAGATTTTACATAATCAAAACTTGTACGAAACAAAATGTGACATGATTATATTATTTTATCAAATGAACAACGAAAATAGAGAAAGAAAGTGATTAAAATTTAACCATGTAAATAGCAAACAAGCTACTTAATTTGGGTCGAGTGAGTACTCCGAATTTTGTAGAGTTGCAAAACTTGCAAACAAATCGAATATTGTATTATGCTACATTGTAATCAAAATATTCATCAAGTTTGATTCTTTTCTAGGCAAACTCGATAAAATTCGATGATCCATTAAAAAATGTACTTCGTATGACAAATTACTACGAAATTGGTTTCATTAGATTCATCTTGCAAAAATCTTTCAGAAATTTATTTTATTACATTGATATATAATACTCCGTACAAATTTAAAGTGATTGATAATTAACGTTTGTCTAATTTGACTCAAAAAGCGCAACATGACATATACTCTAGAATGGAGAGAGTAGTTTGCAGAGAGTAATTTGAAAACTTGGACAACAATAATTGTATTTAAAGCATGTTCTTTTTGTTAGATCTAATTAGTTTTAATATGAACTTGTTCTTACCCCCCCCCCCCCCNGTGTGTTATGAATGGGTAGGTGCCAGCCATGGACAATAACAACAACTGGTATAGTGGCAATCACTGGAAGCTGGCTGGTTTTGCACTCTCCCATTGCCACACTTGTGGTTCTAGCTTTGGTCTCCACATGGTGGTATACCTTTCTCTACTCTTATCCCAAAGTAAGTCCTCTCTTCGTTATCTCTAATCGACCCTCGTTTTGGATTGGTTTTTTCTTCTTCTGTGTGTCGTACATTTACCAATTACAGTTACGAATCACAAACCCGAGTTGTTGTCATGTGTTCATTCTCCAGGCATACGCGTCGATGGTGGCCAAGAGAAAAGAGAGAGTAACATATGGACTTGAAGACACATATGGCTCAAAGAAGAGTGGTCTCTAATGAAGAAATTTCATGTTCTCAAACATTTGATGTGCATACATGTGTAATAAATGATGAAATTATATTCTCCCTCCATCCCAAAAAGTTTAAGTTTAACAATTTTTCCTTTTCGAACGTCCAAAAAATACGGCTCTCTCTTGTTTGAACAAAGAGTTGTTTTTTCGCAATCTTAAGATCCACACGTGAAATGTGAACCTTCTCACATTTTCATGAGTTGGCAAATGATTTTTTTGTAAAATGTTTGATTCTTTTATGATATTAATGCCCTAAGATTTTTAAAATGAACATAAACCATAATATCATGTAAGAATTTGACATGAAACCTATATAGTAAGTTTGCAATGCTTGTGACTAACATTTGCTCCGTTCAGATAATATGCAAAGGGAAATTCAAGAGATTGGAGGTTTTTTTTCAATAATATATCAACTCCAGGGCAGAATCTCAAATTTTCTTTTTGGTTTCAGTACAAACTTAATCCATGGTGCATGAATAAAGGAAAATAAGTTGCAAACTATTGCTTACCTAATTTCCAACACATGGCAATATGCCTAGAGGCAAACAGACAAATTTAAAATAATCTATGGCCAAATATTAAGAAATTTTTATACTCTCTAAGTATAAACCATTACAATTCTAAAAACTAGGCATGATCTTTGAATTATAAGATTGAACAAATACTAGACTAATGCGTATAGAGCTACTAAAAAAAAAGTACTCGTGTAATCTATGATTTCACATAAAGCAATTCATAACAAAGATGTAGTGTCTCAAATTAATTAACATTTTCATAACAATTTCCGATTCGAATGTACATCACTTTCATATGAGTATCATGCTATGCCCTCACCCAAATGTTCCAGGAGGCATATCTGAACATTTACCAGTGGAGTAGAAAACTTACCGGGAAGGAGCTGACGAAGAAGAAGAAGAAGAAGATTGTTTGATTAATCTTGAACCCAAACCCTCACGGTTCTATCATTGTCAAGTCCTGCAGACACAATCATGTTCACCAGAGGGTGACAGCTCACGCAGATGACCGTATCCGTGTGCCCCTCCAGCTTTTGCAGCAAATTCTTTTCTTTTTGGAGATCCCATATGTACACACAACAATCTTCGGATCCCGAAACGATGTACTTCGCAGACGTAACCGAAAATGTGGGTGTGATGCAATACGTTTTGTTCGCGTGCTTCGTATACGTCTTTATCACCTTCCCAGTCGCGTAATTCCACAGTTTCTTCAAACATCACCAATAACAAAAAATGAGATACAGAAAAGTAAACATAGTAAGATTTCCCTACAATATTTGGAATTTGAGATTACGAAATTTCAAAATGTTGAAATTGATATCTAAGATTTCAAATGAATTCTAGTTCCCAAACACTACGTCAAGCTTTTGATTGAATGCTCAAGAATGTGTTTTATACTCTCGCAAGAATCAAACAGAAGCCAAATAACAAATACAAGATCTTCAAAATTTGAAAATATCAGAAATTTAAGAGATGGTTTGAAAGTTAAACTCACAAGAGTATCATCGCGAGTGGCGACGAGTATGAACTTGCCATTGGGAGAGAATTTGGCAAACGAAACGGGGTGGTCCGCATCATTTATGAGGGTCTTCAAGCACGCGCCGGTGGTAGGGTCCCAAGTCTTACAAGAGCCGTCATGGCTGCTGGAGACAAGCATAGTTCCGTCCTTGTTGAAATGCACCGCGGTGACGGGCAGGGAATGGGCCCGGATCACGTGCACGGACTTGCCCGTTTTCACGTCCCAGATCCGGATGGTCTCGTCGAATGATCCGGATGCGATGAGGTTGGATTGGGGGTTGAAATTGACGCAGAAGACGAAATTGGTGTGGCCGCGGAGGGTCTTGCGGCACTCGCCGGAGCTGGCGACCCAGATGCGGATGGTGCAGTCGTCGGAGGCGGAGCAGATGTAGGTGGAGTCGGGAGACCAGGCCAGGTCGGACACGCCGTGGGAGTGGCCCACGAGATGGGAGAGCTGCGTTAGGGTTTCGGATGACCAGACAATTAGGGTTGTGTCCAAGGAGGCAGAGGCGAAGAACTGGCCGTCGTTCGAGAACTTCACGCAGGAGAGGGCCCGTGAATGAGCCGCCAGGACTTTCTTCTGTCGATACGGCCGGTAAGGTGCCGTGCCGTTATTGTTTGTCGCCGGCGCCGCCATCAGGTTGACAATCAGCGGTGGCAGGGCTGGTCCTTAAACCCTGAGCAATAAAAATGGCACTATATCATGATACCCATTTGCTAAGAACGATTCTATGAGTATCAAAACAGAATTGATTTTTTTATATATATATTATCAAAGTGCAATTCATTCGTCATTCTGAATAGAAATTGAAAATTGAAATTCAAAGAAGAAGAACTCGAGGAAATCAGACCATTAAAATTTAAAAACTACCCCGAATCGATTATTCAAAGGATGAAAAGAGAAATAGAATTATGGATTTCATAGATGATAATTGGTAGATCATACCAGTGCGGTGGAGCACTGTAGCCGTGGAGGCCGGAGGCGGCGCAGTGCGTCTTCCGCTTCGCTCTTCAGAATTCAGAGATCGGAAAAATCGGATGCCATCAGACCGATTTTCAGAGACGGCAGTTTGCAAAAGCTACTAAGAGCAACTCCAATGCATCAGCCAAAGGGTAATATTTAGATGATATAGCTGTTATTGTGCTCATTTCTCATCTCCAACGGAGCTTCCAATTTATACACTATAAGCTAGAATGCATTTCACATAATCTATAAATAGATGATATCTGTAGTAAAAGCTAAACATGAAAAAGTAATAAAATCATTCAGACTACTGAAGAAGAGTAGTTTTCCCGTCCATGTTCTGCTCCGATCCTTTGCAATCGCCAACCCTAGAGGATGAAGATTTGGTAAGTGCTCGCCAGGATCTGTGATTTTTTAATTTTATTTAATGTTTCCATTTACAAAAAATTATGGATTAAATTTTTTCTGTGGATCAGTGATTATTTTTTGTTATTTTCAGGAACATTTGTGAATTTCTAGAACAATTAGATTTTATTGGACTGTTCATTAGAATTTATTCAAATTTTTATTAGATTTTATTGGAATTTTCGATGTAGATTTTTGTAACTTTTGGATTTTTTTAGAATTGCTTTTGAAGATTTTTTTGGGTAGGAAAGCACTATATATGCACCAATGAATTTTTTTTTGGAAAATTTTATTTACTGATGAAGATATTTTTGAATTAGATTTTTTTTGTTTACAATAGAATGATTTAAAATTTGATTTTTAATATTTAAATACAAATAATAAAAATTAAAAATAATAAAAGTGTATAAAATAGATGTGATGGTTGGAGTGGAGATCAAAAACTTAGAAGCTAAACTACTATTGAAGAGCTAAAAGGACATTTAGCTTTTAATTTTTTACACTCCCCATTAGAGTTGCTCTAAGTTTGCAGGCCTCTCTCTTTAGTCTTTACTCCGGAATACTCCGTATTTATCAGTGTTATTAAAGCAGAACAAGATCGGGCGGTTCAAGGGTTCGAACCCAGACCCGGACACACAATAGGTCCGGTCCAACCTCCCAAAACACGGGAAAACATCGACTCGGAAAAAATTGAATTGACCCAGGACTCGTTCTCTCCACCGGGTCGACTTCCGGTCCGAGTTAAAAATCATTGAAATTAATACTCCCTCCGTCTCGAAGTATTCGTCCAGTTTTAACTTTTAGAACTGTTCATCTAAATACTTTAACTCATCAAATTCTTTCAATGTGTAGACCTAAATATAGTCATGTGTAATCTTATTTGATTTGTCTTAACATATAGGTTATTAATATATAATTTCTATAATTTTTTAATATACAAATTACAAGATAAAATAGATTAAAAAAATGTATTGGATGTATATACACATATACAATTGCATTGCTCCACGCAATGCTTGGATTATAGTGACTGATCATAAATTACTGTTATGATTTTCCTGTTATAGTAGTAGATGATAAACCAAAGAAAAGACTCAAACAAAATATAAAAGAAAGAAAAAGGGAAAAAACGAAACAAACTTTTAAAGCCCTATCCGTACAGCTCAAGGAGGAGTGAAAATCCCAAGCTCGAAAGCAATTTCAACTTGTGCATAATGTGGCTATATTAGCACTAATCAACATCACTAAAAAATTAGTGAACATTAACCAGCTGCAATTAGCAGGAATTCTCACCAAACTCACCAAAGCCATAACGAACGTAGCTCTAATTTGAAATTATTAAACCAACAAAGCAATAAACCAATAGTCTACTGTGTGGGATTTAAAAGAGGAAGCATCAGACACATATAGCAAGGGATTGTCTAAACCATACATTAATAAGGAACAGATATATTAAAACATACAAAAGCTGATGGATAAATTCATGATAGCATATTATCTTTGCAAAAAGATTAGTGTGTGTAAGACTTAAATTTCAATAATCTAAGTCAGTTACTATAATATGGTTGATTTGGTATATCTTGCCCAGAATGCTTTAGAGGATATGATGTACAAATTACTTCCAATTCATAGAAAATATGTCTAGTAGCTTTGGAGAGGTACATAAGCAATGAGAGCAATGGTTAGAACAAAAGTGAGAATTTTATCTCTAAGGTAACTTCTAAGCTGCAATATGTTTGTTTGACATGGGCATCATCATTTGTTTGCCTTACATTCACAGTTAGAATTCATAAACCTGGCGTTCAATATTTGCTAGTTCAATTGCCTTGAATTACATGTCGAGTGCGTTGGATAAAACCCAAAGTGGAGAGGTTTACATGAATTAGGTGAGATCATTTTATAGCTAGCATTCCAGTGATTAGATATTCATCACGGCCTGTAAACGCAGAAGTAAACAATTAGCTTGGAACTTTGTTGAACTGATAGAATGCACAGCTTTTTCCTTAGGTTTTACCTTCAACACTTGGCCAAAATTAGAAAAGGTGTGAATGCTCGCTTATCGTATAACGAGATTCCAGAAACAAAACCACAGAGAATAAGAAACCTTTATTGAACCAGAGATGTCAATTACTTTTGATGGCAAATGACAACAAGCTAATGTAATATATATAGGAAGTGTAAAGTTTATGCGAGCTTGACACGCACAATTTGTGATCGTCTTTTAAAAATATATGACCGTCTTTTGCAGATCTTTTACTTGCTTGACACACGTAGTTTGTGGTTTGTGCCAAGCAGCAGGTACCTGTACTTTGTTTTCTACGCATGCAAAAGATCGCGCATGCTATAAACACATTGACTTGGTCAATGTTGTTTACCATGTCGACGATCATCTTGTCGCAACCTTAATTGAGCGTGCCAGAAGTGAGTTAGAGTAAGATACATTGATTCTTCAAGTGCATTAACTTCTTATTCCCAACCCTTTGTTTTTATTACTTCTATACGTTTAAAGCTTGTAAGGTAGATATTCAAGGGATTGGGAAACATCAGTTTTGGGGTGTATAGAAATCTTCATTCTCTTCTAACAAGTACCATGTGATTAATAAAACTTAAAACAAATACAGGTCTCTCAAGCTTGGGTTTTTGCCTAAACCTCTCTGCCGTTTTGTTCCAACGAGCAGAGTCCCTCCCAGATTCCACACCACATTTACATCATCGTGCTTGGCCCCATTGACTTCCAGTTTCAATGGAGTCCCCACCGGGTATTTTCTAATACTAGTGATATAACTTGATCTTTTATTATGTTTGTTATATATAACTTCTTATTCATTAGTATATTAACACTTGGCTACATGTTCTGGTGTTAATCATGTTTTCTATTCCTTTTAAATTTTCTTAAAAAATTAAGGTTCTATGTAAGGCTTTTGCACGTTTTCCATATCGTGCTGGGTCAAACGTCACTAAGAGCAGCACTACGTGCTTGCACGTCGCTCCGTGACTTGGAATTAGCTAGAGTGTGAGTATCCATGCATTTCATATAAATCTTTTTTTCTTCTGTAATTTCTAGTTTTTTGTTTTTGAAATTATGCATTTGGAAGGAGTGAATCTTCAACGAACTGAGGGTTAATACTCTCGGAGTGCCTAGAACACAGGGATGATTTGGAATTTATTAATGGGATACCGCAATGGGTAAGTGTTTGTTTGTTATCCAAAAAAGCTCATTCAAAACTCCTTTGGACGTCTTTGTTAAATGAACTTGGTATTTAAGGTTGAGTGTGTGTGCAGAAGTCTTTAGTACTGATCCCATTGTGAATAATTGTTCCATTTTTCCTTTTACTGAAGTTCTCAATTGCCGGTTCCACTTGTCAATTTGTTTTTTTTGGGGTAAATGCTCTGTCGGTCCTAAAATTTTCACCTCAATGTAACTTGACACCCTTATTAAGTAAGTGTAATTGTGTGACAAGAGAATTTTCAGACAAACGAAAAAGGGAAGTTAGAATCTCTTATAATTTAATACCCCCTATAATTTTTATTCATAAAAGTTTAGAAATCTTCTAGGTGCAATCTTTCAAAGGCAGAGAGAGTGTTCAGTTTAGAGGGTTACTAGAAAGTTAATGTTTAAACGCTGGAAACTTGAGCTTATTGAACATTGAATAAGTTTTGATTTATTAGAACTAAATATTCTTTATTGCATAGGTTTAAAAGATTTAGTACCATGATTGAATTGATTAGCCAATCATGCCCTCTAATTGAGCGTCTCTGCCTCGAAGATAGAACAACACGTCGTGTTGCTGAAGCCTTTCAAGCAGGCATTGTCTTCTATTTTTTTTCTTCTTGCAATATAATCTAGATGGGAGAAACTGATCAATGTCACGTGATTTGCAGGTGAAACTCTTTGTGTGGCTGGAATCAACTCTTGGCTTGACTTGATGACCAGGTGTCCTAATATATCATCTTTGGCTTTAAGAGGATATAAATTGTGTGACGAAGAAGTTTTTGAAGTTGTTCAGGTTGTTTTTGGTTTTTTCATAAATAAATATTTTGATACTATTTTATTTTGCACGGTATAGTGGTTTTGAAACCGTATCTTTGTCTAAGGGCTTGAGCAACTTAACTTTGTTGATTTTTCCTTTTCACTTTCTTGAGCGGATCATTTCTTGGGTATGTTTTTTACCATTTTTTTGAATTGTCTTCATAATAAGTAGAGTATTGCTTTCTAATGATGAATACTTTTACAGGGAGTTTCGTGGTACTGCGATTGCGAAGAGACTTAACGTTGTGATATTAAGAGGCTGTGTGCATTTTGAAAAAGTAAAGAACATATTGCCACCTTCTTTTAAGCTTTTCTTTGACCCCTAATACAGGATGAAGCAGAAGGTTTCTTCATGAATATTCTTGTCAGAGAGTTCCCTTGGCTCAAACACATTATATACAACTGATTGTTTTCTCTTTCAAGCAACGTGTCACATACTATCTTGTTATTTCTAATAGAGGCCATTTTTTGCAAGATATTTCTAGTGATTATGGGTTAGTAGCAGGACACCTTTGGACCGATAGATTCTAAGACATAGATCAACATCTATGTCATAGGATGATAGATCAACATCTATGTCATAGAATCTATCGGTCCAATAGTGTCCTGCTACTAACCCATAATCACTAGAAATGTCTTGCAAAAAATGACCAATATTAGAAACAACAAGATAGTAAGGGACACGTTGCTTGAAAGAGAAAACAATCAGTTGTATACAATGTGTTTGAGTCGAGGGACTCTCCGGCAAGAACATTCATGAAGAAACCTTATGCTTCATCTTGTATTAGGGGTCAAAGACATTATTTTCCTTTAGATTGAGAGATAAGCTTAAAAGAAGGTGGCAATATGTTCTTTACTTTTTCAAAATGCACACAGCCTCTTAGTATCACAACGTTAAGTCTCTTCACAATCGCATTGCCACGAAACTCCCTGTAAAAGTATTCATCATTAGAAAGCAATTGGCTACTTATTATGAAGACAATTCAAAAAATGGTAAAAAAACATGCCCAAGAAACAACCGGCTCAAAGAAAGCAAAAAGGAAAAATCAAAGCTAAGTTGCCCCTGGACAGAAAAGATACAGTTGCAAAACCACTATACCATGCACAATAAAATAGTATCAAAATATTTATTTACAAAAAAACCCAAAACAACCTGAACAACAAAAACTTCGTCACACAATTTATATCTTCTTAGAGCCAAAGATGATATATTAGGACACCTGGTCCTCAAGTCAAGCTAAGAGTTGATTCCAGCCACACATTGATCATTTTCTCCAATCTACATTATATCGCAAGAAGAAAAAAAAACAGAAGACAATGCAGACAATGCACCTGCTTGAAGTGTTTCAGCAACACGACCCGTTGTTCTATCTTCGAGGCAGAGACGCTCAATTAGAGGGCATGATTGGCTAATCAATTCAATCATGGTACTAAGTCTTTTAAACCTATGCAATAAAGAACATTTAGTTCTAATAAATCAAAACTTATTCAATGTTCAATAAGCTTAAATGTCCAGCGTTCAAACATTAACTTCCCAGTAACCCAACCCTCTAAACAGAACACTCTCTTTGCCTTTGAAAGATTGCACCTAGAAGATTTCTAAACTTTTATGAATAAAAATTATAGGGGGTATTAAATAATGTATAAAAAGTGAGAAATAAGAGATTGTCACTTCCCTTTTTTCGTTTGTCTGAAAATTCTCGTCACACAATTACACTTACTTAATAAGGGTGTCAAGTCACAATGGGGTGAAAATTTTAGGACCAACAGAGCATTTACCAAAAAAACAAATTGACAAGTGAAACAGACAATTGAGAACTTCAATAAAAGGAAAAATGGAACAATTATTTACAATGGGATCAGTACTAAAGACTTTTGCACACACTCCACCTTAAATACCAAGTTCATTTAACAAAGACGACCAAAGAAGCTTTGAATGAACTTTTTTGGATAACAAACAAACACTTACCCATTGCGGTATCCCATTAATACATTCCAAATCATCTCTAGGTACTCCAAGACGAATTAACCCTCAGTTTGTTAGAGATTCACTCCATCCAAATGCATAATTTCAAAAACAAAAACTAGAAATTACAGAAGAAAAAAAAAGATTTCTAAGAAATGTATTGATACTCACACTCCAGCTAATTCTAAGTCAAGGAGCAACGTGCAAGCACGTAGTGCTGCTTTTAAGCATGATATGGAAAACGTGCAAAGACCTTACATAGAACATTAATTTTTTAAGAAAATTGAAAAGGAATAGAAAACATGATTAGCACCAGAACATGAATCCAAGTGTTAATATAGAATTCTAATTCCAATTCAATTCCAATTCCATCAATTCTGTGTACCAAACAGACTCTTAGTGCACTTTTATTCCGGGCCCCTTTATCACCTTGTGGATTACCCTCAAACACAACCAGGGGACACAAATTAGAACTTAAATTACAGATCGCTTGGTCCTTCATAGAAACTATTGGTATGGTAAGACTGGTAAAAGAGAAAATCGGACATATGGACCGAACCCTCAAATCCAATTTTGACACCACTTTCTCACCGTCCCAGACACCACCGACATCCGACATCATTTTGTGTGAGAATTGAGTGTTGTCAAATTTAGGGTACACAAGCATTGATGTAATTATACCACAGTGATTTCTCGGGGATTGCACTTACGGGTTACGGTAGGGAACAAAACCATTTTTATAAAATCTCAAACAATTTTACACCATAATTTATTAGAAATGCCAAAAGTTAGAGAGAGAGAGAGAGAGAGAGTACAAAGTTTAGTGTCTTTACGATAGGATCTCTTAGTCCACTGGGTAATTGTGACTGTCTCCACCGAAGTCAACGGCATCAGTACTTCCTTCACTGATAAATGTTTAAATTATTAAAATCTGCTTTCACAGCTACTATTATCAAGCTCACTACAAGTGTAGAAGAATTCAATTAGAGTAGTGTTTGGGAACTTAGATTTTATTTAAATTCTTGGATTCAATCCTAAAATTTGAATTCATGGATTTCAAATTACAACGGAGTGTAAAAACTTGTGATTGAGCTTTGTTGGAAATAAGAGCAATTTGGCCCAAAAATTCAAATCCAATTTTTTCGTGATTACCAAACATGTCATTTGAGTCAAATATAAAATTGAAATCCAAATCTAAGTTCCCAAATATGCCATAAAAGAAATTTTTATGCATATGAGATTGAGCAGATAGAAAATTTCGACACAGAAAAAGAACAAACCATTCTTCCGGAAAGTTAGCCAACACGCACAAGTCAGGTCTTGCCTCCAGCAATTGCTTAAATGGAATAAAACTGCAAAAAAAATGCATCAATTACATTATTCAGATCGAATATATTGATTTGAATCAAATTCTTAAAACAAAAATTAATCTGGGAATACAAAAAGGACTAAAACCACATTCATATTAGAGCAAAAAGAGAACAATACAAGATTAATCTCCTGCTGCAGCTGCTTTTGCCATTGGATATATCCTGTTAACACAAAATGAAAACATCTCTCAGGAACAACAGGAGAGTAGTTGGTTGAATTTGAAAAAGAAATTAGCTTGTGTGTGACTTTACCTCATCAAATTCATTCGGTTCGTTCTTGTTGATGATTTTATTGGGTTTATTGTTGCTAATCAAATATTGTAAAAAAAAAGTTATTGAGCTTGACCATTGAACTATTGCACACACATTTTGTCATTCTAAATTTCTCTATATAAACTATATATTTCCTCCCCATTTCTTTCTATAGCTTTCTCGGAATTCCAAGTGGACCGTTGAACTTACAATGTGTTTCAAATGCGTGAAATCCCCTGCAAGTACTGCCGAGAAGAAACTCACTACTTCCGCCTATATTAGGAGCCAAGTAGACATCCTATTACCATCTTCCTTTAGATTGGGTGAAGAGTAGAACAGAAAGTGGCAATTAATAATTCTTACTTCTTCCAAATGCATGCAGTCTCTTAAAATTAAGACCTCAAGTATATCCTGGACGGCATTATCACCATGGTTCCTGTGGAGGCCCAAGATCATTAGAACACAAGAGAAAACAATTTTGTACTAGTAATTATAAAGACAATAAGAAAACGATAGCTCTAAAACAACATACTTAAGAAGAGAGCCAGTGAGTGCATAGGATGTCGAAAAGTCAACATGCTTAAGCTTGTGAAACCCCTGAAAAGAAAACATAAGTACAATTATTAAACACTTGGTAAGACATTAAACCATGCACTACCAAAAAAAGGATACACCAAGTTCTAGCACCTACAAAAAATCTTGCCATGTTTGCCATGAAGACAAGATCTATAACTTAAAACAAGACCCTAAAATAATTTAAAGCAAATAAAATATCAAAATATTTATTCACAAGAAACCAAACACCACCTCTACAAGCATACGAGCTTCGGAGTCCAGCAACTGAAATCCTCTAAGTGCGAGTGAAGATATATTGGGACAATTACTAAGCAAGTCATAGCAAGAGTGCAATCTAAAGCAGCAATCTCTACCTAAAAAACACAGGACAATGAGAATTCATCTCTAACGTAAATGGCTAAAAAAAAGAATCAAAAGAAAGTGCACCTGCTTTTGATGATTCAAAGACTAGACGCTCAATCAGAGGGCATGATTTGCTTATTGATCCAACCATTTGGCTAAAGTCGACATTACTATGCAACAAAAAAAATTCTTCAGTTATATAAACAAAATGAGTAGCAAAGCACCTTCATTTATGCCTTTCACTAACTTAATACGTAAATTCAGAAATTTAAGCTTATATTCAATAAGCTCAAGTATAAACCATCAACTTACTAGTAACCCTCTCAAACAAATATTGTAAACACTTCATCCGCCTTTGAAAGATTGCTCCTAGATAGGTTTCACAGGTTTTTATGAATACAAATTGGAGGGGGTATTAAATCATGTCCAAAAAAGAAAAAGAAGAGATTCTCACTTTCCTTTTTGGTTTGTCTAGAACTTTCTTCTCATTTCTTTTTAAAGAAAGATTTGTGTGGTTGATACAGCTTTTCTCATCTACAAATCAACAAATGTCATACAATTACACTGTCTTAGTAAGGGTGTCAAGACAAAATGAGAGGAAAAGTTTAGGACTAATGGAGTATTTACAAAATAATGAAAAGTGGAACAAGTAAAAAAATCTTTCACAATGGGGGGAAGTACTAAAGACGTGCAAATACATAGTCAACTTAAAATATCAAGTCGGTATAGCAAATAAACACTTACTCAATTTTAGTATCCCAAGATTACATTCTAAATCCTCCCTATGGCCAAGGCACTCCCATGACTTAACCAATTGAGCTGACTCATCCTTTTACATGTTTAAATAATTGGTCCAATGACTTGTAATGAATTTTGCCATATAAAATAATTTCAATATGGTAATATCAGCCCAAGTTAATGTTTACAATTTGGTTTTCCACCTGTTTGGCACGATGGGAAGGGTAGCAAGATTCTTTGGTTTGGACCAGCCCCCCATTGCCAAAACAAATGCAGTATTCAAAATAATTTCATGCTAAAAATATATGCTATTAGAGTGTTAAATATGAAGGTGGAAGAAATTACTGGAAATGTTGGGCTAATGTGCCCACTGCCAAGGAAATATGGAGCAACCATGCATATATTAGATGTCTTGTGCTAAACCTAATCGCAACAAGTTTTAGTGTTACTTCATATGATGTATTAGTGTAGAATATCTTGTTTACAAAGATGCTTAAAAGACTATTATCTCATGATCTAACATCACATAAATTTAATTTAAGTGATAGTATTGGATAAAATGGACTTCATATTTTCTTGATAGGTGAAACTAGAGAGAGTTAAAGAGAAGTTAGAAATGTGAAGGAAAATGTTAGAGCCTAACAGTTTTCCAATTATTAACAATGCTCCTATAATTCTTTTTTATACATACCAAACCATTTTCAAATTAACCTTATTCTATAACTGCATAGAAATAATTTTAAAAAAAATTGGCATGTATACTCACAGGCCACAGCCCCACTACTTCAAGATCATGCAAAGAAGCGCAAACTGATAATGCCTTGTTAAGTGATGTATCATCCAGTTGTTTGATATTGGATAGGTGCAACCTTCTCATAGAGGACCTTGAAAATTTGAAGAAAATGTTAATGTATAGAAAACATGATTTGCCCCAAAACATGTACACTAGAAGGTACTTACCAATAAGAAACTAGATATAATAAACATAACAAAAGAATAAGTTACTTCAATAGTATTAGAAAATACCCGATGGTGCCTCTATTTGAACTCAAGGGGGCCAAACAAGATCGCGTAAGACTAAGAGTATATGTCTCTTCGTGCAAAACCCCTTCAGAATCTTCAAAGAATCTTATAATGGAAGAACCCGGTGGTTGGGTTGATCCAGATGCAGCACTCAGAGAGCTTGTTGCAACTCCAAGTTTACGAGACCTGTATTTGTTTTTAAGTTAATTAACAACATGGTACTTGTTAGAATAGAATTGAGATTTCTATTTCCCCAACGATTGAATATCGCACGCGTATCATTTTCAAGCCCCATTTTAACCAATTGTTTCGATGAGGAGATAGAGTGAAGGCAAAGAAAATGGCGAGAAAATGAAGAGAAAAAATTTAGTATTTGGATTGATAGAAAATGATAAGGAAATGGTGAGAAAAAAGAAGTAAAAGATGAAACTATGAAAGTATAACGAGAAAAGGTTTTCTTGTCCTTGTTGATGTGAAAAGTTTGGCCCAGGTCCCACACAAATTTTTTTCTTTTCTCATCTTTTTCTTTCTCATTCAAATGTGAGAATATATGTTTAAAGATACCACATAAAGTCACTTAACAAAGAGTACATAACAAACAAATATCCTTCAATTTTTAAAAATAACACACCAAGAAAGATAATTAACCAAATAAGAAGTCAAAGGACATATTAAAATAGTTAATTCCATGTTTTGAGTTATCAAAAAACTGAAATAAAAAAATTGAAATATTAAACTGAAAAAAAAAACTGAAATACTAAAATACTAGAATAAGAAAAAACTAAAATATTAACTGAAATCAGAAAAAAAATTGAAATACTAAAAAAATAGAAGAAAACTAAAAATTTTAAAGTATATTATACTTTATAGTTTAATGAACCAAATCAATGAAAATTAAATCAAATAGAGTATACTTTAATGATAACAAAGTAAGAGAAATCTTACCCATGGAGGAGAGTCACTGCTCGAGGCTGATGGAGGAGAACGATGGCTGGAAGTCGCGGAAGTCACCCTGGAACGGAAAGCCTAAGTCGCGAACCTCCAGACTGGTCGGGTTGGGTCGGGTCAATTGAATTAGGTCAAAATCGGCCAATTCTTTTCACCGATTAGGTGTCGCCTAATCGCGGCTAAGCGCGCTTAATAGCCTAGTTGGCCATAGGCGCTAGTCGTACAGCAAATCTAAATGGCAAAACCGCCCGAACAACTAGTCGGTGACTAGTCGTGGCCTAGGCGACAACTTGACAACCATGCCCGTAGGGGATAATGAAACAAAATTGGATGAATGATGAAAAGGGAGAAACCAAATATGCCAATTAATACTCCTCCCTCCCTACCCTGAGATGCCACCAATTATATGAAAACACACCAAAGAGGTGATAACAAACAAGGATTTGATAGTAGCATGGAATTCAAGAAAAAGGATTGTTCGAAAAGTAGAAGAAAATATAAGACAAACAGCAAAATCATCAATTGAGTCCAACTCCTCGCATGTATGGAAGCCGAGCTCTAAAGAATACCTGACGAATCTTTTCGCGCAGCAGCTTGTCACACTGGGAAGGAGGAAGAGAAGGAGGAGACGAACCCTTTAAAATCTTAGAAGCATCAATGGATTGAATCTCGCCATCTTCACCAAATGCAACAACAGTCTCCTATGCACTGAAATGAGGGCGAAAGAAGAAGTCATCACAGAGTTTGGCCGACTTAGTTGCATCTGCATGACATATCTACAAATCATTTACTCTGGAGAGACAAGCTGTCTGTTCAAGTCGTGACTCTGTTCTTAGCAACAGTCTTGTACAACATTGAATATCATCATTAGGATGTTCCATGCAGTAGTACTCCTTCAGAACAGAGTTTGAACAGAGAGCTTGTCTCTCTAGCGTAAAGGATTTGTTGATATGTCGTGCACATGCAACAAAGTCCACCAAACTCTGTGATGACTTCTTCCGCCCTCATTTCAGTGCAAAGGAGACTGCTGTTGGTGAAGATGTCCAGATTCAATCCATTGATGCTTCTAAGATTTTAAAGGTCCGGCTCCTTCTCTTCCACCTTCCCATCGTGACAAGCTGCTACGCGAAGAGATTCGTCAAATATTCTAGGTATTCTTTAAAGCTGGATTTCCATACATTCGAGGGGTTGGATTCAATTGATGATTTTGCTGTGTGTCTTATTTTTTCTTCTACTTTTCAAACAATCCTTTTTCTTGAATTCCATGCAACTATCAAATCTTTGTTTGTAATCAACTTTTTGGTGTGTTGGCATATAATTGGTGGCATCTCAGAGCAAGGAGGGAGGGGTAATTATTGGCATATTTGGTTTCTCTTTTTTCACCATTCCTCTAATTTTGTTTCATTATCACCTACTGGTGGATCAATTACTCGTATCAATCTTTAAGTATCCTTCCGTAATAAACCTCCACAAGCTTGCATAAACTTCTACAGTCAGAGCACACGTAAAGCCCCACAACCTTACGCCTAAGTTGTGCAATTGTTATACTAAGACGACCCTCTTCTAAAGTACTACTAATGCGTGGAACATTCTGATGATGATATTCAATGTTGTACAAGGCCCAAAAGTTCATTGAGGAAGCTAGCCTCCAGAACAGAGTCATAACTTGAACAGAGAGCTTGTCTTTCCGGAGTAAAGGGAAAGCAATCATGCTCACCTCCTCCAAATCGCTGAAACATCTTGGTCCATGGAAAAACACGTTATGAGCAAGATCTAGAATCAAAACTTTAATCTTGCCATTAAACCCGAGTGCCGAGCAGATGCACTCGCGCTGCGAGTCAACAAGACGGACAACAAGGCAGGAAAAGGCCGACAAGAAGATTTCATAGGCATCGTAAGAGCAGCAGAAACCCTTCCTCATCATTGGCACCACCACCAGCACGAAATCATCTCTTCTGGCGAGCTCGTGATAAGCTAAGGTTGTGTGATAAACCATGTCTGCATCTTTTGAAGACCATATCGAAGGCACGAACACACAACAAATCATGACGTATTTACCCGATATGTCCAGGGTAAGGGACTGTTGGCCTGAGGCCATAACACCAGCACCCATACCACTACCATAGTAACTAACTAGAGCATTCCGGCTATCCCCTAGCAAATCTAAAGCCTTGACTCGTTTGCCTAATTTGATGTCAGGCACGTTCAAGAAGGCTTTAGAATATTTGGGGCGTTCTTGGTCAAAGTATGAGCCGATCTTACACTCATTACTTAGGCGTGCAGGGAGCTCGTGAGTACCCCCGAGGCTAAACTTGTTGGCCAACATCTTGGCTTTGATGTGGTTTTTTTTACAGTTGGATTCATGTGGAAAAGCAGTCTTCACCATCCGATCTAAAAACCAAACATGAAGCAGAACCAAATTTTATGCCTAATGAAATTAAACATTCTGAGAACCACATTTTACTCCACAATCCATCTTTGATGGTTTGAACTAATAACCTGAAATTTTGTTACACACACACACACTTATCAAACTATTGCTATATTCCCATTCATCTCACAATTAACATTTTCCCGCGGGTGAAATGCTAGTTATAATGAAAGCAGAAAGTATCTTTGAAACTTATTTGACAAAAAAAATGACAACTATAAGATTGTTTGTTAAAAGGTTGGGAATTGGAAACATTAATTTAGAATCAATCAAAAGTTAATGTGTAACATTTGTATCAAACATGAAATTGTGAGGAATAATGAAAAGGGAGTTAAAAGTTTGCAACAGAAGGACACCAAAAGATTGATACGAGTAATTGATTCACCACTAGGTGATAATGAAACAAAATTGGAGGAATTATGAAAAGGGAGAAACCAAATATACCAATTAATACCCCACCCTCCCTGCCCTGAGATGCCACCAAATATATGCCAACACACCAAAGAGGTGATAACAAACAAAGGATTTGATAGTAGCATGGAATTCAAGAAAAAGGATTGTTCGAAAAATATAAGAAAAACAAGACAGACAGGAAAATCATCAATTGAATCCAACCCCTCTCATGTATGGAAACCCAGCTTTAAAGAATACGTGACGAATCTCTTCGCGCACCAGCTTGTCACGCTGGGAAGGAGGAAGAGAAGGAGGAGCCTGACTCTTTAAAACTTTAGAAGCATCAATGGATTGAATCTGGCCCTCTTCACCAAATGCAACAGCAGTCTCCTTTGCACTGAAATGAGGGCGGAAGGGGGGAGAACTCATCACAGAGTTTGGCTGACTTGGTTGCGTCTGCACGGCATACCAAGCAACCCATATCCACAAATCATTTCTCACTGCTGCCACTGCTACCATCACAATCAATGCATACAACAACCACCTCAACATTTGAAGCCTTTCCCATAATATGGTTTGTATACCACTCACCCAATAGCACCAGCTAGATCTTTGCTCTCCTCTTTGTACATATAAAGAACAACCCTCTTGCCCTCAAGCTTTGCCGCCACAGGAATGCCTTATTTGGTGGAAGAGTCAACATGTGCCCAAGCCCCAAGGACATAGTAATGAGCTCAATCTAAGCCCCATCATCCTTTGAAATTCCTTCTTAACCAAACCCCTCCTGGTGAAGGGATATGCATGCGTCCTTTCCAAACTCAACGATGATTGGAAATCCATAGGGATCCACACACTTCTCAACTCTTGGGTCCACCATGAAAAGACTTTCCTCCCCACTGTCATTTTCACCCATCCGCCACTCTTACGCTGCCTATGAAAGCTTCTTGTCGGCCTTTTCATGTGCTAGCACAAGTGCATCTGCTCGACACTCGGGTTTAATGGCGAGATTAAAGTTTTGATTTTAGATTAGAGCATGCTTTACCATGGACCACCCAAGATCTTTCAGCGGTTTGGAGGAGGTGAGCACGATTGCTGTCTGTTCAAGTCGTGACTCTATTCTGGAGGGTCGCTTCTACAATTAACTTTTGGGCCTTGGCGACAGTGTTGTCCTGTACAACATTGAATGTCATCATCACGATGCAGTAGTAGTACTTTAGAGGAGGGTCGTCTTAGTATAATAGTTGCACAGCTTAGGTGTAAGTGCATCAATCACAATCTTCTCCTCCCTCTTTGGGGGCACCTGATCCCAGAAGGGACAACACACCACCACAATCTCAAGCTCATACTCTTGACGTCTACATTCCTTGTAAACCTCCACAAGCTTGCATAAACTTCTACAGTCAAAGCACACGTAAAGCCCCACAACCTTACACCTAAGTTGTGCAACTGTTATACTAAAACGCCCCTCCTCCAAAGTACTAGTACTGCATGGAACATCCTGAACATGATATTCAATGTTGTACAGGACAGCACTGTCGCCAAGGCGCAAAAATTCATTGAGGGAGCGACACTCCAGAACAGAGTCACGACTTGAACAGACAGCTTGTCTCTCCGGAGTAAAGGGAAAGCAATCGTGCTCACCTCCTCCAAACCGCTGAAACATTTTGGGCGGTCCATGGTAAAGCATGTTCTGAGCTAGATCTAGAATCAAAACTTTAATCTCGCCATTAAACCCGAGTGCCGAGCAGATGCACTCACGTAAGGCAGGAAAAGGCCGACAAAAAGCTTTCATAGGCATCGTAAGAGTGGCGGATGGGTGAAAATGACAGTGGGGAGGAAGGTCTTTTTATGGTGGACCCAAGAGTTGAGAAGTGAGTAGATTCCTATGGATTTCCAATCATCGTTGAGTTTGGAAAGGACGACAAGAAGCTTTCATAGACATCGTAAGAGCAGCGGGAACCCTTCCTCATCATTGGCACCACCACCAGCACAAAATCATCTCTTCTGGCGAGCTCATGAGAAGCTAAGGCTGTGTGATAAATCATGCCTGCATCTTTTCAAGACCATATCGAAGGCACAAACACACAACAAATCATGACGTATTTACCCGATATGTCCAGGGTAAGGGACTGTTGGCCTGTGGCAGAGGCCATAACACCAACACCCAAATCACTACCGTAGTAACTAACTAAAGCATTCAGGCTATCCCCTAGCAAATCTAAAGCCTTGATTCATTTGCCTAATTTCATGTCAGGCACGTTCAAGAAGGATTTAGAATATTTGGGGCGTTCTTGGTCAAAGTATGAGCCGATCTTACACTCATTACTTAGGCGTGCAGGGAGCTCGTGAGTACCTCGAGGCTGAACTTGTTGGCCAACATCTTGGCTTTGATGTGCTTTTTTCGACAGTTGGATTCATGTGGAAAAGCGTCTTCACCATCCGATCTACAAAACAAACATGAAGCAAAACCAAATTTTATGCCTAATGAAATTAAACATACTCAGAACCACATTTTACTCCACAATCCATCTTTGATGGTTTGAACTAATAAACTAAGATTCTAAGAAAGCCAGACCTAGATCTGAGGTGCTTCGTACTCAGACTCACCAATCGTCCAGTCCACACAACAAACAAAAATCAATCAAAATCAAACAGATATGAACTCATAGATCATTACTCCACATCTTAACTTTGATGTTTTGAAATAATAACCTGATAAAAACTTCATCTTGAATCCGCGGCGGCGAAGCTTCGAACTTGACCCAGATTCAACCGGGTCAAGGGCAGTCCACTTCCCACGCCTACCAGACGGATCGCTCCGGCTAAGCCCTACAAATAACATGGGAAAAATTTAACAAGAAGAAACCTAATAGAGAAGGAGACTAGGGATTACAGAGAAGGAGGCGAGGGAGGCGAGATGAGTACCCGTAGCTGATTCAATTGGGATTGAGGGAGTGGGCGTCTCAGGCACTCGAGGATTGAGAATTTCAGGCGAGGGAGTAGCCGAGTCGGCGCTGGGCAGCGGGCGAGACTCGAGAGTGGAGAGTGGGACTGACGAGCGAGACGGCGAATCCTCTTGGCTCTCACGCTCTAGATCTATCGAACAACACAGGCGATTGAGGCGAATGGCGATGGCGAATTGGCGATTAAGGTCTTTAGGAATTACAGATAAGGTTGGGGCATTTGAGTGGTGATTTTTGAACGGAACATTAAAAACTACTCCAAAACCCGAAATTAAAAATACTTCGGACCGAAGACCGACCCAAAATCCTTTCGGTTCGGGTTCGATCTGGACCGATCGGTCCGGTTTGGTCGGTTTTTCCGGTCCGGACTTATAAATGAACACCCCTAATTGCAACATTGGCACCCTCAAAGTTGCAATCGGCCGCTAATTTTTAAAAAAACTAAATCCTAGTATGACACATTGGTAATTATTTTTGTATCAGTATACTCCCCACTCCGTTCACAAATAAAATTTCCACTCACTATTTACATTGTTAAATTTTATTCACTTTGTTGACCTATTTTCGTTACCCATTTGATAAAATAATATAGTCATATTACCTCTAGTTTTGTAGATCTTTTGATATAGTTTTTAATACATAATTTTTATTTTAAAATTTCACACCATTTTTCATGTAAAATGATTTAAAAATAACTTCAGTCAAACATCATAACACGCAATGTGAAGTTTATTTGTGGATGGAGGGATACTACCCGTATTACGGAGTACTTTTATATAATGTATGGTCAAAAATTTAATAATTATGACTACAAAAAATCAAAATTGGACAGAAACTTTGAAATAAAGTTGATATTTTTTAAAAATTATCTCGAAAATATGAATTGACCAAAAGGCTCAAACGTATAATGATGACGTGCTTCCTAAAAGATGACAAAAAATGTCAAGTAACAAATTGTTAATGACCTTTGATGTTTCGATTTAATAAAAAAACATTGCTTAATGTTTTGATTCTAGAATAGTACTAAACAGTTGTGAAATTTAGTGCTAAATAGTACTAAAACATATTTTTTTCATTGTAGTATCTAAAATTCTTTCTTCCTTAAATAGTATTTGAACAATGTCCACTGCGCGAGAATAATGTCCATCTCACAATGATTATCACCGCAGATGAAAAAATATGACGAAAACTAATCAGCTGTATTGAGTGCTCCTCTTTTATCTAAACCGGCAAGCCACTGGTATTAAGAATTCTTTTAAACAAGAATAAGTAAGAAAAACCATTAAATGAGAAAAACATGTGTAGAACTTTATGTTCTCCTTTACGTGTGTTTTGAAATAAATGCATCTTTACATCCATTTTTTGGGGTGAGAGAATGCCCATTTTGTTAAATGAAATTTATATAGTTTTCAAATCCCTTTTCACTAAAATGAAGTACACAAAATTTGGGCACCCACACACGAAGTGTGTGCTATGCTAGTGTGTGTGTACATATATATATATATATATACACACACGAAGTGTGTACTAGTAATTGTACGGGCGTTGTGTGAATTTGAGTGCCTTTGGAAAGTTTATTTAAAAATTCTAAAAAAAGTCATGGGTATATACGAAAGTCTAGATGTACAGTGCGTAGTATAATGCAATTTGGCAGCTTGAAAGCAACACTTTGATGAAACAACACAAACCACAATAGTAAGAAAAGATAACTTACAAAATCACCCAACTTCCCGCATTCAATAGACTACATATCACGTACAATTTCCAAATAATGTGTTTATGTTGCATTTTCTTATGACGTGTCTTCCCTAAAGAATAACGCACAAATGGTTTCTACTTTATTTTCATCAGTGATAAAATGCACAGACAAGAGACAGAAAGAGAGTACAAATTTTAGTGTTTTAATCAGAGGGTGATAGAATCTGCTGCTTAAAAAAGAGCGTCTCCGGCAAAGTCCACCTCATCAGAACTTCCTTCACTGGTATAACTCCACTCAGTTGAACTCGATAATCCCAGTGCGTCACTTGAATAATTGCTTGAATTACTAAAACTGCTCTCACTGCTGCTATTCTTAAGCTCACTACAAGCGTAGAAGAATAAAATTAATTTCTATGCATCTGAGATTGAACAGATAGGATAATTTTGATTAAATGGGCTGTTGAGATGTGTGTGTGTGTGTGTGTAAGATCTAAGGGGCCTTATTAAGTGTTCTCAACTTTAAAGTGTGGTTATGATGAGCGGGATTCTCATAAGAACCCTTCCCCATGTATATGATGCCTTTTTTAACCAGTTCTTTCAGTTTAAAAACAAAAAAAAATCAAATAGAAAAAAGAACCAACCATTCATGTGGAAACTCAGCCAACAGGCACAAGCCAGGTCTTGCCTCCATCAATTGCTGAAATGGAATAAAACTGCAGAGTACCACAAAAAAAATGTATCAATTAAATGATTCAAATCGAAGATAATAATTTCTACTCCCTCTTGCGTAGCTATTGTTATTTTCTAAAAGTATGCATACTAAAGGGATCATGCACGATACAAAGTAACTCATACTCCATATTCAAAAGAAAAACGGAAAAACACATTTTTGTCCCAAAATGAGTTCATTCAAATTTAGACAACAACAACAACATTACCCCAAGGGCTCCCGCCCATTGTGGGGTAAGGGGGTCAGATGTACGCAGCCTGACTCATATGCTAAAACATGGAGCGGCTGTTTCTAGATGAGCCATGAACAGCATCAAAAGTTGCATTGAATCACAGATAGTTCAAGAACCACTTTGCTTTATTCCATCTTACTCCAAAGCCAAATAATAATGAATATGTGGCTCCATCAGAGAAGGAAACATTCAAATCTAAAGATTCATGTAAATTTGTTTCGTATTCTTGAAACAAAAATTAACTTGAGACTAAAGATGAACTAAAACCACATGTATATTAGGGCAGAAAGAGAATACAAGAGTAACCTTTGGCTGCAGCTTCTTTCGTACCAATCAACTTCTGATGCCAAACCTTCCCGATTAGATATGTCCTGTTAACACAAAATGACAACATTCGAGGTAACAACGAGAGTAGCTGATCAGGGAAATGACAATTGGATTACAAAATGCAAGAGAGGGGTTGGTGCTAAATTTAGTTGTGCACGAGTTTACCTCAGAATATCAAAATGCGTTGGGTTTGTTGTTGTTGGTGATTAAATAGGATTTATTGTTGTTGTTGACCAAATATCATAAATAAAATGATTGAGTTTGACCTTTGAACCAATGTTCCATCACCCATTCCCCCCCCCCCAAAAAAAAACAAACATTTTGTCATTCCCAATTTCTCTATATTTTCCTTCCCATTTCTTTCTGTAGCTTTTTCCAAGTTGCAAGTGGCCCCTTGAACTTACAATGTGTTTCAGATGCTTGAAATCCCCTGCAAGAACAGTTGAGAAGAACCTCGCTATTTCCACCTATATTAGGAGACAAGAAAGACATGCTTTTATCATCTGTCTTTACATTGGCTGAAGAGTTGAAAAGAAAGT